GGCAGCGTCCAGTACAGTTTGCACTGGGGCCGTGGCCTGGAAGCGATCATTGATGGGATCGAGGCTTGTTTGGAAAACGGCCGACGTCGCACACCGGGAGGTGGTGCCCCTGCTGTTATCGTTGTATCATACGCTGGCAACGACGTTTATGGCAACCATGGCTTCGTGGGCAACCCTTGGGTTGACACGAACGTCCTGCACCGGAACCCGGCCAAGCAGCGGGCTGCCTATGAGTGGCAAGCGGAGCTGGCCCAGAAGCGTGCTCAGCAGATGCGGCGTCTTGCCGACCTGCGGCAGCGGAAAGATGTAGCAGCTCTCATCGTGATCTGCTATACTGTGACTCGCAGAGTTACGGGCTGCCGGAAGAGTGTGCACGCCAGATGTGCCAGTCGGCGGAAGTCTTCACGAAACTCGGTGTCACCAACGTGACAGGCACGACGCTGGTCCGCTCGTGCCAGAGGTACGACAACTTCCATTGTCACAATACCGAGGAGAACAGGTCGATGTTCGTGAAGTTTCATGCCAACGTGGCCTTGTTTGCTTACCACTACTGGGCGCTGGCTGGCGTTGACGTGTTGCGCAAAGACGCGAACCTCTTCGCGAAGCCTCGTGGAGAGAAGACGCAGCGCCAGTACATGCTTGAGCACATTTGGAAGCGGCTTTGACAAGCACCATGAGTTGATCCCGGGACAGAAAAGGCAAACTGCTATTGACCAAAAGAATGGCTGGCTCCTGACGGTCACTGAGACCGATGAGGTCGCGTACATGGATGATGTCGGCGACCCCGTCTATGCGACCAAACAGCAGATTGCTGCTGCAAAGCTCCTGCCATTCAATCAGCGACTCTACAATTTGCCACGGGGAACCGTTGGTCCGGATGTCTATGACGAGGGTCAGGATGTGCAAACCGCGCCTGAACCGTCAACGGCTGATCAGCCAATGCCGGATGCAAGTGTGCCAGAGGTCATTGAGATCGACGACACCTTTGCGCCCAGCGCTGATTCGCCTCCGGGGACGGAAGGCCGAGATGCAAACAACCAGGCTCCTGTGAACACTCCGGGCATGGAGTTCGTGTCTGTCAGTGCTGAAATGCCAAAGCATGGTGACACCGAGGTGGATCCTGTTGCCATCACGGAGGAGGAGGAACTCCATGTGTCCAATGACCCCATTGCGGATGAGAACTACGTCAACGAGCTTCTCAAAGATCACCTTGATTTCGCCATCAAACAGGGCTTTGAAAACAAAGACCAGCCAGATGATGACTCAGATGAAGAGATTGTTTTCAAGGAACCGATCCTCACATCTATGCATGCCGATTCATGTCAGGTCGCGGGTGTCACTTCCCAGTTGAGGAAGAAGGATGATGAGAGCGATGTCATTCGGATATACATGGCAGAGGAGGACATCCCGCAGCTCACTGGTGAAGCACTCAGGAAGTTCCGTGAGGTTACAACCTTGGGGAACGAACCCGACCTGGCCAACAAGGCACCACAACAGAAAATTCCAAAGGCGAAGGCATCAGGTGAGCCGGGGGCGCCCAAAGCGCCGCAAGAGACTGCAAAGTCGAAGACAAAACCGGCATCACCGAAACCAAAATCACGCCCGGCGGGAGCTGAGGCCGATGTTGAGATGAAATCGACAGAGGAAGCTCAGCCCAAAGTTCCAAAACGCCCGGCGGGAGCTGTGGCCTCGGATTCAACCCCGACAGCGAAGCCAGCTGTCAAAGCCAAGGCCATGCCTCGGGCACCTCCGGTGCCGCCCGTTTCGTCGCCTCTTGGGGAAAATGAAGTTGTGGCATTGCAGTCAAGATCAGTTCCTGGTGCTGCCAATTTGCCAAACTTGAACTCGAAACAAGTCTGGATTTCCCGACGCGTCTCGGGCTTGCTCCGCGGATGGGAGCATAGCAAGCAATCCTGGCACAAGGTGCAGCCTCCAAGCTTCGATGCTGGGCTATGGGTGGATTTTGGCAAGGTTTACTCGTTCATCAAACGCAAGTACGATGTCAACCTCACCAATGATGACCTGTTGACGGTTATCACATCCAACCACAGATTCATGCTCGAAGCGAAGATTGCGCCAAAGGGGACTTTGGTCGGCGGAAAGTACCAGTATACTCCACTCAGAATCAAAGCGATCCAGAACCACAACGAATGGTCGAGCAACAACGTCCTGGATGCACTTCCTGAACACGAACGCTTTGTGACTCTTGATGAGGAGTACACCTCGGTTGAATACCTTGCCGGCAAATTCCCTCGAGTTCCGCGTGGTGCGTTGGGAAAAGTGAAGGAGGTGGCGCCCACCATCCTCTATCACTACACGCACCGAGCAGCCCTGATTGAGATCGTCAACATGGGACTGATCCCTGGTGGAAATAGAACCGGAGCCAGATTCACCTTCTTGACGAAGGAAGATCCATGGACCATCTCAGGCACTGACTACGCAGCGATGGCGGCTACTCGTCCCATTTGCGTGGCTTTGGACCTGCAGATGATGATCTTGAACGGGCACCGGCTCATCGAGACCACTGCTGGGACTATCCTGTGTCCCGACTGGCTTGCCAACAGAAACGTGATCTATGTGTACGACATGGAATCCAAGTGTTATGCCTTTGCGAACCATGTGTACGCCCACTACCGAGGTATCATCACTGGTGAGACCAAGGCTTTCCATGCCGCACGCACTGGGGGACCAGTTGCCGATGACGGTGACATGGTGAAGAGTCCACTTGAAAAGTACACCGACGAGGTCCTTGGGGACTATGAGAATTGGTGTGGCAAGGTGGATACCTTTTCCCCGTTCGTCTACGGCGAACTACACGAGCGCCCAGGCGTGAAGGACCAGATGATTTCAGGAAAGAGGAACCCTGATCTGGAAACCTATGAGGTCACGTATATCGTTCGCAGACCCAACTTCAACGCCTACCGAAATCAGGTGTCGCCCAAAGAGATGCTGCCCAACTACAACCGCCCACGGTTTGATTGGCGCAAAGTCCACCCCGATGTCGAGGTGTATGGCAACACTCGATGGATGGTCGTTGAGGGCATTCAGACGCCAGAAGATCAATGTCCGACGTGCAGGCACACATTTACCCACGGCATGATGTCCTGCACAACTTGCGGCGCCTTCCTCAACTACGCCTCAGATCTGTGTAAGGCTGCCCAGCTCATTCGGATCGAGGAGATTGCAACCGATCTTGGTATCGAAGTCACGATGGACATGGTTCCTGAGGACAGGTTGCAGGGAACAGGTGTGAGGAAGACGCCGGCGGGGACGCCTGGCCATGAAATCCAACGTGCTTCTCGTTCGGGCATCAACATCCTGAAAGCGAACGCCAAAAGCCATGTCCAGAAGGCGGAGAAAATGTCCATGACAGTCTCGCAGCGGCAACTGATTGACGCTTTCTACGCGTTCAACTGTGCAGCCCAAGACCTCTCTCCGATCTGTATTCAATTTCTGGAACGATTGTCGGATGCCGTTATTCCTGATCCACCGAGGACAAGGGAAATGATCGCACAAGGCATCGGTCATCGCTATGCCGGAAAGGTCATCTTCATGAACGAACCGGCAAAAGGAAATGATGCAGACCTGAGTGAAGATTTCTTTATCTACTGGAAGAATAGGCTGCACCGCCCGAAAACTTTCGCTGCAGACTATTGTCAAGGTGCAGTGGCGAAGTGAGAAGACGGACCCTGATGATGTTTTGGACGAACTCCTTGAATTTGTGATGGGCGATGCTCAATTTGTCCCTGGCATTGATGTCAATCTTGTGAAAGAGACAAGGGCTCTCGTGATTCCCAAGGCCAAGGCAGCGCCAGGTCCAGGCGAAAGTCTGGCAAGGGCTACACGAACCCAAGCTGAGACATCAGAGCGTCGCTGGCGAGGAGCTGCCGGAAGTGATCAGTACCATGATTGGCAGCAGTCGTCCTCATCATCTTCATGGTGGTCCTCATCCAACCGCAATTGGTGGCAAGATGATCGCGGTCGTAGCAGTGATTGGCGAGGACACGACTGGTGGAGTCAGCGCAGGTGGTGAACACGACGCACAGCGGGAGCTGTTGCCTGTGGAGAAGGGACTGAAATCTACGGGTGACTTGCACCGGGGGACCGGATGCCTGATACCAGCAGCTAATTCGTTTGAGTTCAGGTCGATGAACTTGGCTCTCAATCCTTGCAGAAAGAAGCGCACATGTTTTGTCGTGCTTTGTCGCCACGCGGGAGCGTGTGCCTTGACGGCTTAGTTCCTGCTTTCTAAAAGGTTGGCATTGCACCTTCTGTTCCGCTGCGCCAAAAGAGTTACCTTTGACAGCATGCGTTGAGCTTTCATGCATGAATCCGTTTGAGACATGTTCAACACTAGCATCAAAACATTACAGTGCTTCATGCGATCCGTCCTTGAGGTCAATCATCCTCTCCATCTCAAGGCACGTTCCGGTTCGATGCTTCGCACGTACCGGGGGACCGGATACCATCGTAGGTCCTTAATTTGTGCACTGTACATAACTTCACTCCTCCCATTTTCGTTCAGCGGGGGGGTGTCGCTTCACGCTAGTATGTCTAATATATGTCTCACTTACCTACCGTCTGGCTCAAGGAAAACCAGGTGCGACTAGTTGGTACTTTTCGGTCGTTCTCCTGTAACTACAAAACGCACAATGTCCAAGGCCTGTGTGGCCGAACGGCCAGAGATCCTTCAACAAGCGATCTTGTCCAAGACTATCGACCCACGTGGGAAGTACAAATTTCGGCTGTGGCATCTCAGCATAAATTCAGCATTCAGGTCCTGCATTGTCACAATACTGAAAACTGTTGTTGCGGGAAAATCGCAAGAGCTTGATTGAATGAGCTTGAAAGAAAAATAAAGAAAGCAGCTTATAACAATAATAGTTGTTTAGCGAAGCCGTTCACGTGCCGCCAAGGAATCAGGCAGAGGCCTCAGTGAAGACCCTTCGCTAAGCTGTTGACGTGCGGCGCGCTGTCGCAATTTGCTGCAATGACTCCAGGTGAAAGGGCAACTAGGGACTGAATGGAAAACCATCGTCATCGATGAGAAGATTCCCTGCTACGCGGGAACCACCAAGCCTCGATTTGCACAAGCCAATAGTCGTGAAATCTGGGTGCTTTTGATGGAGAAAGCGTTTGCCAAGATGTATGGTGGCTACGACAAGCTCGAGGGCTCCTCGTTTGATATTCTGCATGTCAGCATCAATGCTTCTGAAAGTGAGTTTGCCCTGTGAGCGTTTTGCCTGCAAGTGTTGGACTGAGGTGGTGTAATGTCCTGGGCACTATCAGCTATCACTGGAAATCCGGCGGTGAATTTTCTAAGGATGAGCGGAGTTTGGAATGCCTTCAAGCCAGCCGGGGGTGGTCAACTGACACAAGAGGGAGAGTTTAGTGATGATGAGTTCTTCAAGCTTCGTAGATGCACCAAGTCAGACCAGCTTTGGAAAGCATGTTTTCTGATTGTTCTGCAATCATTTTCCAAGTTAGTGTTCCATGCTTAGCTTTTCAGTTCTTTCTGATTTGGGCCAAGGTTCCTACATCGGATTAGGCGGAACGGTGCGTTTATTTGTTGCTCAACCATCGTCCCACCCGACCGCAAAGGCTTGATCAACGGCCACGCGTGGCTCGGATCCTGGAGCTTTGAAAAGCTTTGAAAACAAAATAGGCCTCTTATAGGCGACTCGTAGGCTAATAGTACAGGATCTCCGACAACTTCATTGCCCCTAACCGGTCTCGGGGCGTGGTGGGTATCCTATGGTATCCTTTCCTATGGCTGAAGGGATCAAGAGGGTCAACTCGTCGAAGACCTCATTCTCGTCGATCAGTTTTGATCCTCCTTTTCTATTCTCTATCTAATTTCACTGGGTAAGGCCGTGAAGACCGGGTAGGAGCTCCATTTAGGAACGTAAGGATCCGGAAGCTACTCAAGTACTAGGCCGCTTGGGGCGCAGACAGGCGAAGGGTGGTTCGCGTGATTTGTTCATGTTGGTTCCTAGGTTTGGAGACTTTGCCTCAAGACCTCCCTGGGTTGAAAAGTCAATGAAGTTGCCTTTGATGTTGCAGAATGTCCATCCTTGCCTCCACTTAAGGTACTCGGTGCTGGATTTGCAAACAGTCGCACCAGATGTGACCAGTGGGGAATACTTCCGCATGGTGCAGATCCGAAACCCACATGGGCAAGGGGAATGGCAAGGGGTTTGGGTCTTAGAAGAGGTCAACGAAGAGAGACCAGAGATTGCACAGTTTGATGCCACAGCTTTCTTTGTGTGACAACGATTTGATGTCGAAACCATACTTCCCTCAATCCCGCGTGTACATCACTGCAACGTTCATTCAGTTAAATTCAGTTCGTTCGTTTGAGCTTTGGGAAGCTACTGTGACCAGAACACTTTTGAAGGGTCGCTTGTAGTTTGTGAGTTCTGCCCTGCAATCGTTGGTGTAGAAACCATTGCGATTTCCCAAAATATGTTGGAACCAAATCATTCAGCAGCCTGAGCCCTGCGTCCAAGCATAGGAAGCAACTTAAGCATCCCTACTGTAAGCTTATAGGTAGTTACCCCAGCTAGTTACTTAGCTACTTTAGCCACTTCCTACCAGCTGCCTACCCCCGCTACCTCGCAACAAACACGCTTTTCCCGAGGCATGGAGCGACAAGTCGCCCTTGTGGGAGAAGCATCCACGTCACTCGAATATGATAAGAGCATCCACAAACCTCCGTTCGAAACGCGAATCACATTGAGGCGTTAAGCGAAAGATTTTGGGAGGTGAAGAGCCCAAAGATGATGGCTCCTTTTGGATGCAATGGGAGGATTTCGTGGTTTTCTGGAAGGATGTGCAAGCGTGCGCCTGAATGATATGACAAGCATGATGGCAGACTTTCAATCTGGGCAGCTGGTGGGCTGCTCTCAGCTGAGGTGGTCGATTGTGACACAAACATCCACACAGTAGCAATGCCTGATTATGACGAAGAGAGGCTCGTCTCGACAGTGACTGCCCTTTGAAATTGGCAACATGGGCCTTACAAGAAGCTACTAGGAGCAAAGGGCATCGCTACTAGGAGCAATGTTCGCTACTAGGGGCTCCTGGCCGTACTAGGAGCAAGGACGCTACTAGGAACAAAGGGCATCGCCGGCATCGCTACTAGGAGCTAGTAACAAGAGCTGAGCTGCCAAGGACATGGTGCGGTCCTATCATCTCATCCCTGCAGGGGTGCTTTGAGTATTGGTGCTGCTGTGTGGGATGCAAACGCTTGTATCTCGGGCGTGCTGGTGGAAAGAATCTGGAGGAGATGAAGAAGGATATGAACAACCAGTCCCTGAGCTCAAACATCATCAAACACCTCCTTTCGGTGCGAACAGGCTTCGGCAATGGCCGCAGTGTCCTGCAAGAAAGATGCTGGCAATGTGGCTTTTGAAAGATACTCCAAAACCTCCAAAAGCCAGTGGGGTGCCCAAAGCCAAGGTGTGGCTATGACCAGCGAGGTTTTTACTGCCACCTCTTTGAAAGAAGAGCTGTAGCCGATGATGCATACTTGTCTTCAGACGAGGAGTCAGGCATGCTACGGCGCTAGATGTGCCAATGCAACGTGCTATTCTGGGTGGAGTGGTCGATCTCAGTGGCGAACTTTGTGTCACGCATCGACGTGCAAGAGATTTGCTGTTTTTTTTTGGTTTGTTAACAGATGTGTTACCAGCTTGTTGTACCTCGCCCTGCTTTCTGCTAAGCCATCCTGACCTCACCTTGAAATTTGATAATGATCATAGTTCGCCGGAAAAAAGGTCGCAGAAGGATTGGCCATGGAAGCACTTTGAAGCGCACTCGACCACTGATTTTGCATTGCCGCCATGCAGCTCTTAGGTCTGGCCAGAGAGCAGATGGAACCTGAAAGAGTTGGCAGCCGTCAAGTGTAACCAAGTTTAACCACACCTGACAGATCCACTGGTCCAACTGGCAACCAATCGGAATCACAAGAACTCAAACATGGATTACAACAGCTCTAGTAGCGTTCTTGCTCCGTTCGTAGCGATGCCCTTTGCTCCTAGTAGCGTTCTTGCTCCTAGTAGTAAGGCCAGGAGCCCCTAGTAGGGTTCTTGTTCCTAGCTCCATTTCTGCAAGGTCGCTTTGAAGCAAAATTCGGAATTCCGTACTGTTGGAGCCACCGGAAGCTGCAGAAAAATGTCATAGGGGGATCGTGACAGAGGCTCAAAAGGGCATGACGGCAATATTTGATGGCAGCAAACCTTGCAGCGCCTAGAGACCTAGCGTTTATGCTCAAGCTCAAGGCTTTGCAAACATTCGCCGTGCAAGCGGAAACGGAGCAGAACATTGACTTGTCCCGAGGGAGGTTGCGCGCATTGAAAGTTGAAAGCGTCTCAACCACACAACAATCACCTCAACACAGCATAACCTCAAGCAAAGATGTGACAAGAACCTTTTGAACAGCACAGCTTTTTTGCCATGTGAGTTGGCTCTTCTCAAACATGGAGAGTGCTGAGCACCCAAACTCCGCTCGAGCAGATTCAGAGGATGAATTTGTTTGGTCCGATGCAGCCAATGCCCCCGGCCTGGGTGCTACAAGCAGCCCATCAAATCAAGAGGGCATTGAAGTTGGCGAGTCGGG